TCATGAAGGAGGGATTTGTAGATGCTGACTCCCTCAAGCAAGATTTCCCTATTTAGAAATTCGTCATGGTCGTGTAACAGAACGGGGGTGTTGCGCATGGGTGAGAAATTGATGGCTTTAACGACATTCCTCGACGAGTTCATGTGCCAGCGACGTACAAAACGAGCATCGGTGGTGCCAAAAAAGCACTCCACATGAAGAATTATTTCAACGGAATAAATAACGTTACTTGAAATTGTGGCTTGTTATTTGAGTAAAGATAAAGTCTAATTTTGATATCTTCTCCTTGTAATGCACTTTGTCCGATCATTAATCTTCAGATATGCCTCGAGAAATTAATCTTCAAACAATTTGTGGTTTTTTTGTCAACAGTACTTTTTCGATTATATTTATCCGAAATGTGTTCACAAGCAAATCATCTATTTTAAATTGAACAGGCCGCGTATAATGCCGTGCATGTTCGGGCATAAATGTGGGTAATGGTTTAAATGGGTTGGGATTTTGTCTGAATTTTTCGTAGTTAATCAAATTTGTTGAAGTGAATGAATTGCCATTGCCTTCCTTTGCTTACGTACAACTGTATTTTCCATTTTGTGTCCATTTTTGCTGCATAAGCTCAAGTGATTTTTACGATATTGGTAACAATACAAAGTTTATTAAGCATATTGCTTCAGTGCCTCCCTTCAAACGCTCCGACATAATTGAATCTATCAACCTTCGATTATAAAGCTGAGAAATGTTCCACTAGAAAGGCAGGCAGTAATGTAAATGAAATGGGCTTCACATGAATTGATTCGACAACCTGATTTGAGACGGAAGCGGAAGAAAGTTTAGACTTCCAAATTATAGGTTATGTGCAGATTTGCTTTAATATGAACACATTTCTTTTATCTTGGACTGTTGTGCAGTTTGTGAGCCCTGCATTTCATTCACCGGAACCTACACGAGACCTCAGCACAGTCTGGTTCTGAGCCACAAAAGAGATTGTCATTGGCACAAACGTATGAAATTTATTCAACCAGCATTTTTGAAGAAAAAGAAAGTTACCACTGCTTTGGTCCAAATATTATTTGGACCAATTAGACCGAATTTAAACCAGTGCATTTCCTTTAAAAGTGAAGAAATTAGACAAAAAGGACATCTTTCTACTGCCTTCTAGATTGTCATAATCACAGCAATTTGCTTTTCTAAGCCTAGGCATGCCGGTAACGGATCTGATGCCAAATGGGGAATGACGCAACACGGATTGCTTGATACTGTGAGTGTAGATTGACTTAAAACTGCCTTCACCGATAAGAACAACGTTCTTCCCAAATATTTAAACAAAGACGAACTTCCTCTACACTCTCTTGCTTCCCCACTTTGTCCAACCTCCCATTTTGACCGACCCCTGAGACCGACAGCCCTCGTTGCTGATTCAATTCAATAATCTTCAAGCGTTTACTGTGTCTCAAAGTCAACACTCTTGATGGGAATATTTGTAGTGAACTTTTATGAAATGAGAATGAGTTGGTTGAATGTCATCGATTGGAAGTTACAATTGACGTTCAATATTCACTCACGCGATCTGCAATAACATACTTGGGTGGTCAAATTTAAAAAACTTGTTACTTTATTTATCATCGGTCTTGCCTTTATTATCGGGCTGTTACGGACTATCAAGTATCAGGGTTTTAAGGTAGTGCCGCTGCAACATCGCACCACGAAGAGTATCTCTAATTGCTTTGGTGTCTAGACCTGTTTTCTTTAAGAACTAATCAGATTGTGCCCATACTAGGACTTGACTGGGATATGAGGGACAAAACAGGCCAGAGAATGGTACGAGTTTTATAAGAGGAAACGATCAACAGAGCTTGACAAGAAACTGCATTTTTTGCCATCTGCAAAATCAATGTAATTCGAATGTGCAAGCGGAAAATTGTTAGTGTGCTAAAACCCTAAATCACCTCAAGTAGCCAATATGCTTTTACAAACAAGGTACATCAGTAGCTTTCTATCACGTATTTTATATTATATTGACGATAAACGGAAATAGCGTGAAAAAGCAGGACTCGCGTTTTAGTGCTTTAATTAGTCAAAACATTGCAAGATGAACTAAGTTAAACCATTAGATGACATTGTGGCATTTCTTGGCTGATTAATGATAAATTTCTAAAAAAATTTCAGCTGCTAATAACGACGATTTAAACGCACGAGTTGCTCCCTCTCCACCAATGGCTGAGCTCCAAGATGGCGATGGTGATCCACGCTTCAACATGTTTTCATTTGTATAGATTCTTCCTCCTGTTCACTTAGTAATGGTACATTACTTTAAATGTGAACTTGTGTCACCCCCATACCTTATTTATATGGGTGCAGATAAACATGAAAATGACAAACTAATTCGTTGGGGCTGGCCGGAGGATGTATGGTTCCACGTTGACAAGCTGTCGTCTGCGCACGTATATCTCCGACTTCGCGAAGGCGAAACTCTAGATGATGTTCCGGAAGCCGTTATTCAGGATTGTGCCCAACTCTGCAAACATAACAGTATAATGGTAAATTATCACTAGTATTATCTTCATCGTCGTATTCAGTGCTCTCGTCTCTGTTAAAATCTCGTCTGGTTTAATTTTTGTGAATACTTACTTGAATTGTTTCAAATTAATGATTTTATGTGGTATTATGTACCTTGACGACTTTGTCTTGTGTACTATTCGTCCTGTACCTATTAACAGGGGACTTGTTCGTGCTATGTACCTACTTTAGATACACAAGCTGGCGCTTTTTTGGGCTTGCGTTTTTTTTGAAATTAACTGGTTTTGATATTAGAACTGATGAGTATACCTATAATTCAGTATATTTCGATGATATTTTGGTGACTGCATGTTATGTAAATGAATTTGTCGGCCTTTCCTGTTGTTACTCAGTTAATTGCAAAGCTTGGTTTTTCCGTACAGCTATGAAAATTAACGGTCATAATTTGTAAATCCGTCGGAGACCTTCAAGGTTGTCATATGCGACTGGACCAACTAAATGATTTTACGATTGAAAAAAATGTTAATTTTTTTGCTGTCAATACTCCACTTGACAACTTTTAAAGCCAGCCATCAGCGGGAGCATATAAATAGAAGCTTTACTGAAGAGGTTTATCAAGATTCGAATGGTAATTTTGACATGTCCTAAGTTTTCTTACCTACGAGCGGATAAATACCTGTTCCTGTGTTCGTATGCCTCCGGTCATGGTTTCTTCGTGTGGTAAACAAACAGAGCTCTATGTTAGTGTGGTGCAGCGAACGCAAGGCCTTTTTCCCAAGGTCAAGTGATGTGCAAGTTCTCATGTTTTAATTTGCGATTCTAAGGCTAAATTCTTATCGAGCACACCAACTAATTTGTCAATAATTACCTAATATCATACGCTTCCCCTCAGAATCATCCTTGCTCAAATGGTTGTTGAAGCCAGACAGGTCTGGTGCACGTTATCACTGTCAAACATTATTAATGTTTTGATTAAGCTGTGGTGTCATTGTCTTTAATTTCCAGGGCAGCAAGCAGAATGACGTAACCATTGTTTACACAATGTGGGAAAACCTCAGAAAGACAGCCGACATGGATGTCGGTCAAGTTGGATTCCACAATAGCAAACTCGTCCGTAAAACTGTCGTGGAAAGGCGTATCGGTGATGTCATTCGCCGTCTTGAAAAAACGCAAACAACAGTCGAAAATCCTGATCTTCGGGCGGAAAGAGAGGCTCGTGACGAGCGCGTCCGCCAAAAAGCCAAGGCTGCTCAGCGTGCCCGTGAACAAGCAGAACGTCAAGCCGAAAAGATTCGCCAGTCGGAGGCCGAACGACGTTCCTACGATCGTATCTTTACTGCGGATAACATGCGTTCCAATGAGGATGGTTATGACTCTGATGACTTCATGTGACCTAAATGTGCTGTGTATATAAGAAAAAGATTGGAGCCTGTAGTTTTCGGTCCTTATTTTTCGCCAATGAGCCTCCAAATACGTGGTTTTAAGCGTGCATGTTTCACTTACTGGATTCGATTTGTAAGGTTGGCAAATGGCACCAGTTGGACTCGGCTGTGATTCATTGTGGCCTTAAAAGTTGAATAACCTTCTCGAGCCCCGAACTGATGGCTTCTACGTCCGAGAGTTAAATGGGCTGTGTAAGTGTTAGAGACTCTGACGTGGGAGTCGGATCCAAGTAGACTTGATGTGACTGGGGAGCAGAGAGGGCTGACGTCTACTCAAATGAAACCTCTTGCTTTGTGGGTGACTGTCAAGGTATGTGTGAATAGTGTGTGTGACTGACAGACAGTTTAGTGAATGGCAGTCAATACATGAGTAGCCAGAATGGAGGCGAATATTTGCAAACTTTCTTGAGTATATTACGTGGGCGTGCTGATCGCCGAGGATGTGGGTAGGTGCTCAGATAAGCACGTACCGAAAGGAGAAATCGTAGTAACCGGTTTCTGGTTGTGAGGATGACACGTGAACCTGGACGCCAAGTGTGTTTCCTTCGGGCTTTCTATCGCATTTTCTTACCAGTCCCATGGAAAACCTTAGATAACGCACTTGTTGGTGTATCCTCCGTTCGAAATTAATCGTGAAACGTCAGACGCAACCCTCATCGTCAACAAATATAATTTCTGTGTTCTTGATCAAGAGAATTAACTTGTGTTTTTACGTCTACTTAGTAGAACGCTAACCCGGGAATGCCAGTTCTTATTAGAATCCATCAGATTCTTGTCTCGACATAGTACATTAGATATTCCCTGGTTAAATTGGGAAAAAGTTGTCTAAGTAACTGGCTTGTCGCTCTGTGAATAGTAATGGAGAATCGCCATGAAAAATGGACCAGAGTCGGTCCATACGAATTCCTATACCGTGCTTGAAAATCTTTGGCAATGAGTTTGCAATAAGAAAGCTTAAGCAATGTTGTATGAAGTTCAACTTGAGTAAACGTCACAAACCGAGAAGGATTCCTACTGGCTATAACTTTTCCGACGATGTTGGTCTTGTGTGAGAATAAGTACGAAGGTCCACATCCTCGTCGACTACAGTCTTTTGCACATTGGCGCTTTCTCATGCATTTGCGAGAGCTATTTAACTAACAAAGAGATTTGAATCGGCCAAATACATTTATTCAATCGTCATACACAGTAATTCGAGTTCAACGATATTTGCAGTCTCATTCTTCGACATCAAGGCGTCCAAAAGAGGTGACACAAATGTCCATTCTTTATTTGCGCAACACCAGGTAGCTTAATAATGCCATGAAATTACTAGGTAAAGTGATTTAAGTTCACACCGTAATAAAAATGGTGTCAATGTTCCAAAAGCGAAGGGTAACAACTCCAGACAAGCAGGCATCTCGTTGTTGGGTGTGTCGAGCTTTAAAGGATTTGGAGCTGGGTGGCTGATGGGTATATACCCCTGTTCCAAGACTAGTAATCACAATAACTTCAAGTGCCCTTTCTAGTCAGGGCCGTAGCGAGAATATATCAATCTTAAGAAGGCACCTATTAGCTATAAGTCAATGAGTAGAACCTGTGATTTTGTGATCGTTAGGGGGGTTCATGATTGAATGGAGGATCTGCATTTGTGTTTGGTGTTTGTGTCCACCATCTTACAACCCTACTAGTTAACGGGCTGTGACAAGCCGAGTACGGAGAGGCAAGACAGGAGATAGCAGATACGACTATTCGTTAGCATCAGACTAACCAAGCGTTATTTTCATGTGAATGCGTGAGTGGGATTATCGAGTTGCCGTCAGTCACAGCTAACACTAGATAATGGTGTGTCATGCATTGTCAGCGAATTAATCTGTGAATAAGCTTCACTAACAGTAAAAATAGCGGCTTCAATATATAACGGAATGGTGAGCAGAGCGTTGACATGAAAAAATCACAAAGTAATCACCATCTCTCGAAAATATATTGATCCGAATCGAAACCCATTGGCCACGCAGCCGAGTAAACCTAAGTCGTGCTTTTTTTAAACATGTCGGCTGTCTTATCAAAATTATCCGAAAACGATTTACTAACCGCCTCTGCATTATTTTATTAGTAAATGGTTCAATCATCACTACGTACGAGCTGCCTTCCACAACACCTGACCTTGGGCCGTGATTTCCCTTTCAAGAACGCGGTCTTAACCAAAATCTCACAATTTGTTGAACTAAAAACCAGAATATAATTGCTTCTATTAAAACATAAATGTCAAATATTCTTCTAACAAGCACTGCAAAACGACACTTTTGAATTAACTGTGTGTCCAATACAACAAATGTCTGTTGAATCATCTGACACGGTAAAGTCGGTTATGGCCTCACCTAAGTGGAAATAAATTTTGAGCGTTTGAGTCATGACGTACTTGATAGGCTAGACTGTATGCTTTCACACGGTGATTGTAATACTAAAGCCAGGTGGGATAAAAGGAGCATTATGCACAAATTGATGTCTATGGCGAGGAGCAGGCGTGAGCAAACGGAGTTAGCAAGCGTGAGCCAACACGATTCAATTGATTTTCGTGAATGCACTTCATGTACCGCTCGCTCAAGGATCGGTGCTTAGCGAAGCTGCAGAAACGCAATTGTTATCCTGTACAAACACACACCTCGCTACTGCATCAGTAAATTAGTTGAGCTACTCGCCATCTGCATTTCCTGACTCCGTCTTTCGATCGGGCCGTGTCAATGTAGATTGTCGGCCCTGGTGTGGTTTCCAAAACCGCACCGGAGCCCGTTACATATCGTTCTCGACACTTAAGCAAGTAAAAATGACTTCTCAGTATCAGTGTTTCTAGGTTACAATAGTTTAGATCCTGGTTTGAGACCTATTGACTCCAAATAAAAGTTTTGCTGATTTTCGGAATCTGAGTAGATCATTCATCTCTACCGTGAATTGGATATGGAAAATTTCACCGACTATTTCAGTCTAGCGCAACGTTGACCCTCCTATCTGTGAAAAAATTTAAAATTAGCTCTAAAGAACAAAGCATGATATACAAGGCACAGAAGACATGGGCCACTTTGGAAGCTCAGGGAAAATTAACCACGCCCGTTTACCAACGACCAGAGGCCTCGTTGTCTATGTTAGCAGCAGCTTCTCTTTCAGTCGCTTGTTGTCTTGCGGCTGGCTGCCAGCAGAACTGTCAAGTTATTTTTAGGCTACAAGAAGTTGTGTGAATTTTGACCACGAACTCGAGGCTATTCATCCTGCTGAGTAATGCTGAGTAATACTTGAAATTCAGTCAGCCATAAAGGAGGGCTTAATTGGTCTTTGTAAAAATTTGTTTATCAAGAATATTTATTCTGCAAATTCTCAAGCATCATAGTAATGTCAATATCTTAAAGCCGAAGCAATACGAAACGTAAAATTCACCCAAACACACTTCATGTTCGCGACATCCCACACGTGAATCACTCGGATGTTCGGTCTACATTGTCAAAAGAAATGGAGAATGATGAGGCCATTGACCGTCTTAAGTTGACTTTTAAAGTCGGGAAGTCATTCTCTAACAAATTATGGTCAAACCGCAATGGTAATTCATGAAGTTATTTGCAGAATATAATGGTCATTCGATCAGGCAAACTTTTACAGTTGTCGGATTCTTACGTAAATGAGAGGAAAAAAGACTTCGGACCGTCCTGGTCGTTTCTATTTATTGAATAAATTTCTAATAAAACTTATTGGTGATTGCTCATCGTCAAAACGCAGACACCGACCAATCTTACATCTTTGCAGTCCTTCTCAGTTAGAGTCGATCATTTTGTTGACAATTTCGTTAATTTTCGCTGCTGATTTTACTTTTTGCTTGGGAACACTGAACCACGCCATAACATGCACGGCATAAATACTAATCTATGAAATTTGGGCTTGGCCTCTTTTATTTAAACCGACCTATTTACTTAGAATATATATAAATAAGAGATTGACATTTCCGCGCCACATTAAATCTATTTATCAGCCAAAAAATTTGACTTAAAACCTGGCTAGTGCATTAATTAGAACGTTATTTAAATCAAAAACAACAGATATTTAAACAATAAAACTGGACGCTTGTTCTGCAAGACCTTTAAAAAATGAGTTTTATCAAAATATTTGTATTTGCTTACTTAAAATCAATAACTGAAAACATTGTCTGTTGAACTTAAAAATAGAAATGCTACAAATCGTCCGCAAGTATTTGATTGTTGCAGAGGGCAAGAAAATAATAAACGTTTATGTTGCAATCATGATAGTAAAAAGCAGTCGCGGTCTTCAATCCTTCCAACGCGTGCAATACGTAATAAACTTACTTAAATACATTGAGTGCAGCAGAGACTTGGGTATAGAAAGTAGTAATGGAGTTTGCATGCAACTGGGCACTTTCAAAACGTGAGGCCATGGTTTAAACTTCACTATTCTCATTCCCAAAAAACAAGAACACACAATACTCCCTTCACATTGGATATTTTATTCGCATTTAGCTGTAATCCAAATTTATTCGACAGAATCCACTTAAAAAAAACAACGCACGTCGTTCAGCTTGTGCAATTAGTAATCAAAAAAGTCAAACTGTAGAACAAAAAACACCACGATTTACACGATTCACCTAAACAACAACCGTATGTCTTGACAAGACACTTCCCCATGACTACGACAAAAATGCATGCAAGTTTCAAAGGCAACGTCTGCATATCGCCACGCAAGAATTACATAAAAACGTGCAAAAATGCTCAGTTTTTTCATTCGATGAGACATATACGAAAACTAAACCAAATTTAGACTAAAAATATTGTGTAATCATTTGAAATTCAACAAACATTTAAATGCCGAATAAATAAAACACCTGCAATTTCAAAATATTGACCATCATTATACTTATAAATTTTAATTTTATTTAACAAAATTTTTTTAAATATTTTATTAATGTGCCTT